TGTTGAGAACACTATTTTTGTAAACATTTTATTAGTAAAAGGATCGTTTTGAAAAGTTTAAAATTTGTTGAAATTTCTGGGGCGTTACATAACCAGTGTTTTAGATAGGAAGAGTGCAACCATCACCAATTACAAGTTCTTCAGTATTATCATATGGGGCATGGAGAGACAAATTTGCATGGTCATTTGTAACATGATGAGAGGCACCGTTGTCTAGTAACTAGGAGTTTGACTGAGGTAAGTTAACTGTTGCAGCATGAGCTTGAGGAGCTCGAAAAGGTGATTGGGAGCCCTTTGTTGCAGAATGAACAGGAACTGCAGTGGGTACTTGAATAGCAGGAAAATGACTCTTGAAGACTGTACATTGACTAAGAGAGTGACCTTGCTCGCGACACCATTGACACTTACCAAGATAGGGGCATGGTTGGCGTGGATCCTAGGTATTATTGTGAGTTTGTGAATTCCAAGATGAAGCTGACTGATTTCCATGAGAGTTGGAAGCCCGAGTGTGATTTTGAGTGAGGTTCACAGTAGCAAGAAATGTCAGGGGAGAAACTTTGGCGGAAGCAGTGAGTTCTTTGGTGATCAACTTCTCATGAAGTTCTTCAAAAGATATTGTAGTATCACGAGCATTTACTGCATCAATAACAGATCGATATTGTTCATAATCAAGACCAAGCAATACCTTATCGATAATGTCCTCATGATCCATCGGTTTTCCCATTGAAGTTAATTGATCTGTGCATTGTTTGATAGATTGCATATACTCTGTGATAGATTGGTTGGAGTGAGTGATCTGGCTGAGATTACTTTTGATTTGCTTGAAGTGACCCCTTGAGGGATTAGCATAGGTTGCAGCAAGAACTTTCCATGCCTCGTGAGCAGTGTTGGTCTGAGATATGAGATGCACAAGATTTTGAGAGAGGGTGCCAACAATTGCACCAAATACCAGACAATCTTGACGGAACCAAGTGAGAGCCTCTGGGTTAGCCACAGAAGCACTATTGACTGTGATTGAGGCTGAAGGCGATTTGTGGCTGCCATCTACAAACTTCCACAAATCATAGCCTAGGAGTGTTTCTTGGAGTTGAGTTTTCCACACAACATAGTTTACAGAGGTTAATTGAATGGAGTTATGGATTTGTATATTGGTAAAAGGTTTGGTAGGTTCTGTGTTGTTGGGGATGATTGTATCAAACATGATGTTGTTTGAAAAAAAAAAGGTTAGGATCGTCTTAGCTCTAATACCATATAAGTGTTATGGAAGATTTTAAATACTTCATATTAAACAGAGATTGCCTTTAAATAGGCAGCGTAGCTATCTAGAATTTACATAGTGGATGTGATGATCCAAAACAAACTTGCTAAAGATAAGCTAATAAACAGGAAACAAAAACTAACTACATTGACTAAGCTATCTATTGGAATATACAACAACGTGAATATTTAGAATATTCAAGATATTCTAATTATTCCTTAATACTTACGCCGGGCGTGCATTGAGCGTAAGTCATTAAAAGGTAACACGAATGCTTTTAAGTATACTGGGCGTACTCAAGGGGTACACAAGGCGTACACGGCTGATCTGCAAACCTTGAAACTGGGGTGTTGATCCCTATTTAAACACCTTAACCCTCATAAATCCCTTCCACCTTCAACCTCCATCCTCCCAAACAACCCCTTGTAAACCCTAATATTCATTTGAGAGTTTTTGAGCTATTTGAGTGTTTTCTGTTCATCTTTGAAGGAAAAAGATCATTTGAGTGCACTTGGGAAGCTTCAAGCCTTGTGGATATGGACATTTCATCTCTTTAGCAACCTCCAGAAGGTATAAAGTTCTGAACTTGATGAATACTTCACTATATCTTGTTAGTTCTAAGGTTCTTGTGCATTTTGGTCTCATAATCTTGGTCTAGTTGAGTATGAGGTACTCCAGACCTAGCCTTTTCGAATGTTTTGAAGTGCATGGAGTCATAAAAATATTATCTTGATCCTTTCCTTTCATCCATGTATGAGTATTGGGGCTTAGAATCTTGTGATATGTTAGGGTTTGTAGATTTGGACATTTCCTAATCATGAAAAGTCATAAAGTTGGAAACTTTATGATGAAGGAGGTTATTCCAGGTTATATATGAGATTTGGATGTAAGGAATTAAGTGAATAAGCACTTAATGAGGATATTTGAATCTGACTGAGTACGTAGGGTGTACCATAGAAGTATACAACACGTACTGTATTGAAGACATGTAATTTGGGCAGACACTCTTTGTGTCATGCGTAGATATTAGAGATGCAAGTTTGACCCGTGGATTCGGGTACCCGTGGGTATCCGACCCTAACGGATCGGGTATTACCTGTCTTAACGGGTAATGGGACGGGGGTGGAGCTTAAATTACATACCCGAAGCGAGGACGGGTATGACACTATCCTTCCTGTTACATACCCGATTATATATATATATATATATATATATATATATATATATATATATATATATATATATATATATATATATCGAAAATCTTCAACCCATTAAATTCAATTTAATAGTTACTGTTTTCCAAAGTTTCACATAAGCACACACGATGGCATGCTCCGACTTTTCAATTCTCCAGGCTTCACCATTCACCCTTTAGGAGATAACTTTACTATCTTCCTAATCCCTTTTAATATACAATCGTATTTATTCCTCCAAGATTAAAGTTAGTCACGAGTTATTGTCTCTTCAGTTTTCTCGCCAACACCACTAGCTTCACAATCTCCAAGCAATTCAAGGAGTCAAGACTTCAACTCCTCGAGACTTAAGTCGGAAGAAGCTCGATTTTCTTGATTCAAGTCTCAAAAGCCAAGCACTCAAATATTCAACTCGATTTTTCTTTCTTTGACTCTTTTTCTGCACTCGATTTCGTTGTTCTTGTTTTCTTCTAATGTTATTGTTTCGATTATCCTGTTATTTCTTCGATTTTTTTGTGGATTTTGTTGAAATAATCGAACATTTTTGGCTATTAAATAACTTTTTTTTTTGAATTGTGATATCATTTATTCATCTGATTTTTATATATGTATGTATTGTATATATGTATCATATGAATGGTTGAATGGCTAAGTGGTTATTAAATGTATGTCGCATCTATATAACGAATGACTGAATGGCTGAATGTATATCGATTTTAGTTATTACCGAATGATCGAATGGTTATAGAATGTATGTATAGCTGAGTGGTTATCGATTTCTTTTTAATATGATCTTATTGCTTCGAATTTCTTTTGTAAATTGATGTGATCTTATTTTTGTGTCATTTTCATGTATGTATAATCTGTATCATCTAATACTCTATCAGTTGCATGTATGTATAATCTGTATGACTATTAAATTTCTTCTTAATTGTGATATCATTTGATATATAGATTTAAAGTTTCACATAAGCACACACGATGGCATGCTCCGACTTTTCAATTCTCCAGGCTTCACCATTCACCCTTTAGGAGATAACTTTACTATCTTCCTAATCCCTTTTAATATACAATCGTATTTATTCCTCCAAGATTAAAGTTAGTCACGAGTTATTGTCTCTTCAGTTTTCTCGCCAACACCACTAGCTTCACAATCTCCAAGCAATTCAAGGAGTCAAGACTTCAACTCCTCGAGACTTAAGTCGGAAGAAGCTCGATTTTCTTGATTCAAGTCTCAAAAGCCAAGCACTCAAATATTCAACTCGATTTTTCTTTCTTTGACTCTTTTTCTGCACTCGATTTCGTTGTTCTTGTTTTCTTCTAATGTTATTGTTTCGATTATCCTGTTATTTCTTCGATTTTTTTGTGGATTTTGTTGAAATAATCGAACATTTTTGGCTATTAAATAACTTTTTTTTTTGAATTGTGATATCATTTATTCATCTGATTTTTATATATGTATGTATTGTATATATGTATCATATGAATGGTTGAATGGCTAAGTGGTTATTAAATGTATGTCGCATCTATATAACGAATGACTGAATGGCTGAATGTATATCGATTTTAGTTATTACCGAATGATCGAATGGTTATAGAATGTATGTATAGCTGAGTGGTTATCGATTTCTTTTTAATATGATCTTATTGCTTCGAATTTCTTTTGTAAATTGATGTGATCTTATTTTTGTGTCATTTTCATGTATGTATAATCTGTATCATCTAATACTCTATCAGTTGCATGTATGTATAATCTGTATGACTATTAAATTTCTTCTTAATTGTGATATCATTTGATATATAGATTTAGAAATGTTATTTTCCTTTATTTTTTTTACTGAACGGGTATTTATCGGGTTGTCCGTATCCGGCGGGTATATTTTTACCTGCACCCGTCGGGGATTAGACGAAGCGGGGACGGGGACGGGGACGGGTATTGCAGTATCCGTCAATATCCGCCCCCGTTTGCATCCCTAGTAGATATGGAGTATGCACGGCGTACTCAACCTCAACCTGACTTGGAACTTTGACTTTTGAATTTTGGCATTGACCATTGACTTTTGACTAAGTTTTACTTAGGTTATTTTGGGTAAATTGAATATTGGATTGAGATTAGGCCCCTGTTTATTGTATACGTGACCTGTAGAGACATTATTTGGAGCAGTGATCAGTTCAGCTATCTTTCAGACTGTTAGGTGAGTTTTCCTCACTGTACTTGTGGGTCGAAGGCACCAATATCGGCCCACTAATCTCATAACGAAACTAATTTCACAATAATAATACTTCTCCACACCTCATTAAATAAAAAGACAAAATAATAATAAAAAAAAATACAATGTCATGAAAAAGACAAACTAATGTTCTCTTTGTTTATCCTTGAAATCGTAATGTTTTTCCCAAAATAAAATATTTAAAACAGGTGGAATTTTAACATTTAATCTCTTATTGCAAGTGTCTGGTAAAGCCCAATATATGATTGGTTTCATTTAAGGCCCATATAAATGTTAATTAAAAGTAAAAAACGACGACTTTGACCAATCACTCTACTAAATCTACACGTTCTAGATCTCTATCATTTTCCCCCTTTTTCAAGCCCCTTCGCCCTCTGCAAACCCTAACCGATCTTCATCACTCTCCCACTTTCCCCCTTGTAACCTAACTCTCTGCAACGATTCGCCATGGAATTCGGCCTCGCTAGAAAACGAGGGAGGCCAGCTGGTTTGAATGGCAACGGTGGATTCAAGAAATCCAAACAAGGTAACATCGAATCTCTCTTCTTCAATCTAGATCTAGGGTTTCGATAATGTTTAATGCTTGAAGATTTCCTTTTCCCATTCGATCTCCCGTCTAGTTTTTTCATTTTAAATGTAGTACCTATGTGGAACTGTCATTCAAACAAGTTGTTCAATATTCATCGTCGAATAATTTCTTTTTCTTCTTTCTAGCGTTCGAGCTTTCGTTCAACGAAGTTAAATAACTTATTAAGTCGTTGTCCGAAGAGAAATTGTCGAGTGTGAGAGGAATTAATTAATGATAAGCTCTTAGAGCAGAGCGTCTGCAACTTTGTAAATCTTGAAATTACAACTGAGATAAAATAATTAATGTGATGTAACAGACACGGAGTCGTTTCAATCTGGTTTAGGAAGCAAATCGAAGCCATGCACAAAGTTTTTCAGGTTTAAATTCTAACTTGGCTAAAATCAATCTTGTAAATTAAATTATTCATATATTGTAATGCTTATTAATTTCATGAAAATTACACGGCACAATTAAAATATGTATCATCTGGACTAATGGCTTGGAAATCTAAAGTTTTGATACAGGTTATATGATATGATATCTACACACATAATCAAGATAACAACTACCATCATAACAAGGAGTACAGAACAGAACTACAGAAATCATCGTTTCATGAAAGAAACATTAATTCCAATCTTTAATACATCTTAATACTTCAAATTTTTATTTTCAATATCATATTATCATCTATGGCCATGATACAGGGAAATTCGTATTTGGAAACTAAAATTACACGTTATATACATAACATATAAAGCTCAATACATCATATCAAAGGTTTACCTTTCTTAATAATACTTCTAGATAATTACATTGATTTTGGTTTATATTGCACTTAATTTACATAGAACTAACACAGGGGCATAATAGTCATTTTAGTTTTGACTTTTGACTTTTGACTTTTGACACAACATTCTCTATTCTGTTTTTTATTTTGATATGCAGCACATCTGGATGCCCATTTGGCGAAGGGTGTCATTTCTTGCACTATGTTCCTGGAGGTTTGAAAGCTGTAAACCAAATGACTGGCGGCAACCACCCGGCGCTACCACCAACCGCCAGACCACCTGTCCTCCCGCCATCCTTCCCGGACGGGTCATCACCGCCAGCTGTCAAAAGCCGCCTCTGCAACAAATTCAACACCGCAGAAGGCTGTCGATTTGGTGACAAGTGTCATTTCGCCCATGGTGAATGGGAACTCGGGAAACCAACCGCCCCATCTCACCACGAAGACCCACGCGCCATGGCTAGATTTGGCGGCGGTGGTGGGCGGAATGATTTCAATCCGGCGGCAAACAACGCCGCCGCCGCCAGTTTTGGCGCCTCTGCAACCGCCAAAATCAGTGTCAACGCGTCACTAGCGGGAGCTATTATTGGAAAAAGCGGAGTCAACTCTAAGCAAATTAGTCGGTTGACTGGAGCAAAATTGTCAATAAGAGATCATGAATCGGATCCGAATTTGAGAAATATTGAATTGGAAGGGACTTTTGATCAGATTAAACATGCGAGTCAAATGGTGCGTGAGCTTATTGTGAATATAAGTTCGGCTTCTGGACCACTGCCGCCACAAAAGAGCTTTGGAAAGGCGGGTGGTGGTGGTGGTGGTGGTGGTGGTCCGGCGGGGAATTTTAAGACGAAGCTTTGCGAGAATTTTGCGAAAGGGACTTGTACTTTTGGGGAGAGGTGTCATTTTGCTCATGGGGCTGAAGAGTTGCGTAGTTCTGGAGCTTGATTTTGAGGATTTTTTTAGAACATATGATGTTTTGGGGTATCTGAGATGTTGATTGTTGAGGATAGTTGTGAGTTTTTAAAGTTGGTATTAGGTTTTTTTTGTTTCAGATTTTTAGAAAAAAAAAAAAAAAAGTTGTTAAAATTTGGATTGATGTATTGGTGTGTTGTTGCGTTGTGTCACATGGTTAAGGATGGGATGAGGGTAAAAAATGGTAGTTCTAAAGAGATCAGGATTGCAAACGGTTGGTTATAACTTATATTTGTCTGAAACGTTTTAATTTGAGATTAAGATATTAAGTCTATAAATTGGAAATGTAAGTTGGAAAAATATACCTTTTACTTTTTATCTATATTAACAAGGTATTTATATTTTCTTCCCCAAAACACAAACATTCTTATATATCATTTTTGCCATAATTACAATGTTATTTTGTTTTTGTGATCAATAAAAGCAAAAATACTTTTCTTTCTTAATAAGAGCCAAGCAAGTTATCTTTCTCTATCCATATGAGTACTATTATTAGTAAAGAAACAAATAAAAATTTTGACGTTAATTATGAGTATGATTAGTGGCTGTGTTTTTGCCATTAAGAATAAAGAAAACAAACATTAATAGCAAAAGCCAAATACAAACCCAATGAGAATCAACTGTCTTTTAAAGGATAAAAAAAAACTAGTGTTAATGACCAAAAAAACTACACTGTTACTCAACTTACACTTCAACTTCTGTTCGATTCAAAGCTCAAAAGTCAAAATTGCAGGATCTCAATCCCCAAATAAACATAATAAAAAAAAAAAAAAAAAAGTTGCACCATAATCAATAAGATTCAGATGCATAACAACAATATCATGATATCATGCTATAAATAATTTTTTCTAGTTTGCCTTGTTTCTTTTCTTAGACCTATTCTTGGTTCTAAAATTTCCCTTTCTTTTTGACGATTTTCCAGACCCCTTCTTGTGTTGTGTTTTTGCTTTTGCTTTAACATCTTCTGTTTCAATAGGATTCTCATCATCACTCAGCTCTTCTTCTTCTTCTTCTTCATCTGAACTAAGAACAAAATCCTCCACAACATCTTCATCAGTAGCACCCTTTTTCCCAACACCTTTCTGCTTCTGTCGCTTCTTTTCCTTTTTATCCTTTTCATCCTCTTCAAGATTCTTCGCCCTATAAAAAAAACAATTCGTGTTTTTAAACACAAGTAAAATGATAGAAAGAGATCAAGAAAGTTAGAAAAAATAAACATACTTGCGATCACCACTTGGTAACCATGTAGAACTAAAGACAGCAGCACCATCAACATTCACATCATCATCATCATCATCTTTACGTTTCTTTTTACCAAAGATTGATACTTTTTCACCCACAATTATACTGAAAAAAACATACCCCAAATCAATTTCATATAAATCTTTTATATTATATGTAGATACAAATATAATTTTTTGTAAAAAATATTTAAAAAAAAAATGAAACATTTAAGTTAACAAACCTGGACTCAACCAATGAATCGTTTCTTTGTTGTGCTTTTTGACGAAGAATGGCAACGTATTTAGACAGAGGACTAACATCCTTCTTTTTCTCTTCCTGTTTCAAGTCAAACACACCATTGACTTCACATAAATATACTTTAAAAAGTCTCACACTATAGCATCAAAAATATGCAAACCTCCATAAACGATGAAGCAGAAGGATCATTTGGTAGATAAGAAATTGACATTCTCTTTTTATTAGTGAACTCAGAGTTAGCTTCAATCTGTGCATATCATAAAACAACCAAGAAAAGATATTAATCATCAAAATCAAAGCCCATTAGTTTCAAGAAACAAAATGATAATAATAAAAATTTGTTCACCTCACGAATGAATTGCCTCATTTCACACCTAAATCTCTCAACTTTTGTAGATTTACAGAAGCTTCGCATACGAACAGCTGGAATAAAAGAAAGCTCAAAGAAAGCAGGAGAATAACTCCATTGTGCTAAATGTTCAGCAAGTTCTTCAATAACACTAAAAACACATGCCTCTTGAAAAGATCGTGTCTTTATAGTCGCCTTGCTAACCTGCACATTTTCAAATCATTCAAAAATGTAAAAAGTTTGTTTTTTTATAAAGGGTAAATGCAAGAAATAGACAATTTTAAGCCAAACACTTTTTAACTTATTGACTTTTGCCACTAAAAAGCTAATCCAAACACTTTTAAAAACTCCTTTTTTCCACCTTCATAAGTCAATAAGTCCTCTTCAACTTCAAAATGAAATCTCACACACAAATAAACAAAATCAAATTGCTATTTCTTGTAATCAACCCTTTTTTCATAAAACAAAGTTGCAAAACTTACCCTTAGAACAGTTCTCAAATCAACAGCTTTTCCAACACCTCCAGTTGGAGGTTTATTCAGTTCTTTCATATCCAACATGTCAGAAAGAAGAACAGCAACTGGAATAAAGGTGTTTGTAGCATTAGCAATCTGATTCAGCATCCTAATGCATCTTAATCTTAGTGGAAGATATCGAGCAGTTGGAACTAATCTCACAACTCCAGAAATAATTTGAGTTAATGGATATGCAAGTGGCTTAAAATCAGCTTCTGATCCATATGCACAAATAGCTCCAGTCCAAAGTTGAAGACAATTCATATACTTCCATTCATAAACTTTCCTAAAGATTTCCTGTTAAAAGACCAAAATATAAAGCCTATAAGCATAATAAAACAGACCCTTTAGTGTTTTTTGTGAAAGAATTAGGGTTGAAATCATAAAAGACCTTAGATTTTGTGTTTTTTTAACGGATCTGTATTTTTTGACTGAAAAAGACCTTGTATTTTTTCATTTTTTCCGAAAAAGCCCTCAACTTTGTAATTTTTTTCCGAAAAAAATTCTTTTAAACCTAACTTTTTTAGTTTTTCTCGAAAAAAAACCCTCATATTTTACAAATTTTTTTTGGGGTTTTATGCAGAAAAGTCTCATTCTGTTGGGAAGATTTTTGATAAAGTCCTAAAAACATTTAACAGAAAAGTCCTGATTATTTTAACTTTACACGATAATCTGTCATTTCCTGTTAAAATAAAAATAAAGACTTTTTCGTTAAATTCGGCAAAATATTAAATAATCAGGACTTTTCTGTTCAAAATTATTTTTAGGACTTTATCAAAAAATAATGAGACTTTTCTGCATAAAAAAAAAGGGCCAAATTGGGAAAAACGAAAAATACAAGGTCTTTTTCAGGTAAAAAATTAAATATGAGGTTTAATCCGGAAAAAAAAAATCACAAAATATAAGCTCTTTTATGAGATTAATCCAAATACAAAACCTATAAGCATAATAAAACAGACACTGAAACAACAAGAAGTTGATTAGTGTTTTTTGTGAAAGAATTAAAGAATTTATTTGTTTACCTTTCTTTTTGTTGAAAGTGCTTCATGTAAAATCACGGATAATTGGCGAATGAAAAGAAAGGCGTGTTGATATGCAGATGGAAGATCAACTCTATAAAGCTCATTGACACAATTTCCAAGAAATTGTACTTGTTGAAGTTTGCTTGGGTTTACAAAATGACAATTTAGGACATATGCTTTGTATATTCCTTTGAAACATTCGTCTATACAATCGGATCCTAAACGAATGCATATATCTCTAAGGAATAGTAATGAAACTATTGGTAGTGCACCTCCACCAGTGCCCCAAAAATGAAGAACAACCTGTCATATAATCAGAAGAAAAGGAATTGGAATATGAAATTATTGAAATTTGTTATGTGTTTGGATGGAAGAAAATGAAATGAAATGAAACTCCATTCGATTGTGTATTTCTGTTTGATTTAAGAAAAGTATCAATGGGTTTGTGTATTTCTCTTTGATTTGTGGAATTTAGGGTTAGAAAGGGTATTTTGGTAATTTTGACATGAGGGAAATGTTTGGAATTGAATTCCATGGGTGTTAAAATGGAAGCTTGAAATCAACCAGTCAAAAAAGGGTATTTTGGTAATTTCATACTCATTTGCAAATAGTCAACTGATGGTATATTTTAGACAAAAGCACATAAAAAATCCATTCCTTTCTGTATCTCTGTTTGGTTTTGAAAAAAACTATCAAAGGGTTTGTATATTTCTCTTTGATTTGTAGAATTCTAGGGTAAAAAGGGCATTTTGGTAATTTCAACAAGTGGGAAATGCTTGGAATTGAATTCCAAGGGTGTTAAAATGGAACCTTGACATCAACCAGTTAAAAAGGGTATTTCAGTAATTTCATACTCATTTGCAAATAGCCAACTGATGATATATTTTAGTCAAAGCACATCAAAAATCCATTCCTTTGTATATCTCTGTTTGGTTTGAATAAAAAAAAAAAACTATTGAAGGGTTTGTATGTATATTTCTCTTTGATTTGTAGAATTCTAGGGTTAAAAGGGAATTTTGGTAATTTTAACAAGTGGGAAATAATTGGAATTGAATTCCATGGGTGTTAAAATAAAATCTTGGAATCAACCAGTAAAAAAAGATATTTTGGTAATTTCATACTCATTTGCAAATAGTCAACCGATGATATACTTTAGTCAAAGCACATTTATAATCCACAACAAAAAAAACAAAAGCTTGAAAACAAGAAAACACGCACCTTTATATACTTCCTTAGTAAGCTTGGAAAAGCAGCAAGAAATAAAGAAGAGTACTTCAAACGTCTCAATGTAAAAGCAATCATATCTGTATCTGTCATTTGATTCAAAACATGAAGGGCATTTCCAAGATACGCCTTCACTAAATGGTTGTAGTTTTTCCATGCTCTTGTGTTCATCAACTCAACAATCATCTCCTTCTTTCCACCCGAAAGTGGAAGCTTCAGAATTGTTCTCAAAATCCCATCCATCTCACTCAACACAAACAACAAAATCTTATTGAAAACAGGAAAAGACATTGAGCTCATCTTTGATTCACTATCATCATCACCACAATGACATGCACTCCTAAAAGCTCTCATGATTGATCGAATTGCACCTATTCTTCGTTCTTCATGAATGGTTTTAATCCATGAATCCACCATTTCACTTGTTATTGCTTTTGTGGAGGATTCTTTGTCTTTTTTTGTGGAAGATTGAGTTTCAGCTTCTTCATCTTGACCTTCATCTTGACCTTCTTGTGTGTTATCATCATCATCCATGTCTGTTTCTCCATCCTCCTATGGATGAAAAGAAAATTAGTTTACAATCTACACAGAGGATTCCTTATACATGGTATTAAAGAAGCTTATATTTGAATTACCTCATCATCGAATTCAAGAAG